CTACGGCTTATGACGTTATTAACAAATTTAGCTGGATAATTTTTGTTATTGCGTAAGATTAATTGATATACGTTTTCGTCTTTAAAAAATTTCGTTACTTCAGAGTTTCAGTGCTCTGTTTATTAAAGCTGTAACCGTATAACGTTTATTGATTAAATGAATATGTGATTGAAAGTTTAGATATTTTTCATTGTTAGTAGGTTCACGATAATCTTTATTTTTATAGTAGTTACTGGAGTGAGTTATTTAGACATCAAAAAATTGTAGAGGAGTTGTTTTCTCCTTCAATAGTTAAGTTGGTATTTTGAGGAAATAGGCTGTTGAAAATGTCTAATAACCTGTATTCGTCGCTATTCGGACAGATGGCAAAAATGTTATCAACATGTTGTTTGAAAACCCTTAGAAAAAGATTTGGGTTCGTGTTTCGAACAACATTTTCAAAGTGCTCCATGAAAATTTCGGCAAGGATGCGAAAAGTGGGTTGCCCATGGGTTTGTTTGAAGAAACTGCTGTAGAAAAAGAATTAATTTGCATCTACAATACATAAAATTATTAGCTTTATGATAGAGTTAACAGAGAGGTTATTACGTTTTTTAGTGAGTTATCGTCTTGAAAAAGTATACCAATTATTTTAATAGGAAGATTAACAGGAATGTTAGTAAATGAGTCTTTAACGCCGTAACTGATCATAAGGCTACATTCTGTTGGTTCAATCAGTTGGCTACATTCTGTTGGTTTCAGTTCTTTGCAAAACTCATTAGAGTTTCTGGTGTAAGATTTGTTACTTCCAGTTAAGAATGCGAATCTTTTACAGCCAGTTACAAAAACTCTGCGAAAAAACAGTTCACAGTAGAGACTAATTCTGAAAGAAACATTAGGTTTATGTATTTTAGGTAAGGAGTAGGCACGGTGCCAGGTGGTTACAGTTGAATTTGAGAGGTATTTCTTTGAGGTGAACAACTTGGGATTTATTTGATCATGTTGGAGAATATCCTATAAAGTAGGTCGAAGTTTGGGAACAAGAAATGAGGTGGGGTTGGTATCCTCAC